ACTCACCCTCTGTGAGCCATTTTATTCTTCTGCACAATGGAGGCAATACATTTGATCACATGGAAACGTTATGAGGAGTAAATAAGAGAATGCTATTTATTTATTCAGTAAGTATTTCCTGAGCACTGAGTCTATGTGGTCACCCTTCTCGGGGGAATATATCCATGAACACAGACAAGAGCCTGTTGCATTCTAGTGATCTGTTTTAAATTCAAAGGAGTATGCTATAAACTGAAATCTGACTGTAAGGTATTGGTACCTCTCTATACTCTCTTCCCCTCCTCTGGACGGATGACTCCTCTCCCATCCAGACTTGGCTTTATATGAAGAGGGGAAAGGGAGGGAGAGAAGCACTAACGTTTCTCATCAAGTGCACCTTATAACCCTCTCCTGTGATGTCAGTGTCCCTGTGCCCACTTTCCATACAAGAAAACCAAAGATCCTAAGGTCTTGATCACTTGCCCTGGGTTTCACGGCACCACCAGACTTTGAACCCAGGCCTCGTGACTCTAAAGCCATGCTGTTCCAGTTCCACCAGTCTGGACTCATATAGCAAGTTCACTTTGTCACTCATCTCAGTATTAATAACACTGGATCCCCAAAGCCAGAGAGTAATTCACTGATGGATTGAGGGGGCACGTGGGGGCAGGGGCAGCACACAGGTGCTGCGCTTATTTGTTGAGACTGTGTGTATGTACGGGGGGGCATACAATGATGAGATCTCAGTAGGGAATTGGTACTTGGGCTGCTAAATAACCACAATTTGTATTAAGCAAAAACATAGTCATTATGCAGCACGTGCAGGCAGCTGCATCTGACTCGAATTGGAGAAGTGGGAAGTCAATGGCACTTTGGCCTGTGGTCTGGGGAGGAGCTTCCACCAGCATCCTGAGATGTCCTTCTCAGGGCAGGAAGTGGGGAGCAGGTGGTGGAGAAGTGAGAACAGAGGGAAATCAGGGGGCATATGCACCTCAACTTGAGACAGCCTGTGCCTCAGCCGCTCCTACCTCCACGGCCGCTCATCAGTATGGCCATTAGAGTTCTCATTAACACAAGTAAACACGCATCCCAGCGCTGGGCAGGGGACACATGTGTTGATATTTAAGTAATTATATAGTGTGCACTGAGTATATTATGGCTCCTCCAGGGAATGGCAGCTGCAGACAATGAGGTACAATGGAGTACATTCAGAACTACTAGTTAATTAATGCATTAGCAACTCACATTGCTGTCAGGGGGTGTGGGAGAGAGGACACCAGATATTTTCCTGGTGTCCTCCTCTCCCTTGTTTCTTTCTTCCTCGGAGCCCTTTTCCTCCAGAAGCTCAATGGAAGTAACTAACCATCAGTGAACAGAATAAACAGCTATAGCTGGACGGTAACTCTTACAGAGGATTTTCTGAGCGAGAGGAAGGAATATCGGAAAAGCATTGACTCAGTTGGCCAATGGGAATTGTAGAACATTTGTTCTCTTCGGTCAAAAAATGAAACCTAGATACCCAGCCTACAAAGAGGGTGGAATCTCACTGGGAAGCATGGGGCTCCTCTCTATCCTGGGATTCTGCTGCCCAGAGCTGAGGAAGGGAAGCCACAGCTACAAGATTTCCTCCAGGTCTGAAGGGATGGAGACGAGTGGCCTTGGGAGCAACCTGGCACTAGGCCAGCCCTGGACCTGGTAGAGGCAATGGGCCTGTGGGCTTTTAAGACGCATGAAATGAACTGAGGGCTTGCCCTGGGCTATTGCAGGGAGCCCCACGGGTTCTTCCCTGATAGGGGAAGTCAGCAAAGCAAAACAGAGGATGAAAGGTGATTCCTGAACAAGGAATGAGAAAACCCTCATTCAAGTCCACACTCTGCCACTCTAGATATGTGACCTTGGACAAGTCTCATAAACTCTCAGAGCATTGTTTCCCCATATATAAAAATGGGGTGGGTAATAATTCTCACTTCAGGTATGTTGCGAGCATGCGATGAGGTACTATATGCGAAGGCACTTCAGAAGCTATAAAAACAGCCTGTAAATGTAGGGCATTGTTATTTCCTCCCATCCAGGGTTTGGTTCCTTATCCTGGGGAAAAGAATGTGTGCTACAAAATGAATCAGAGCTTGGGCACCCAACACCCCAAGCAGAGAGGGCCACCCAGTAAGTAGCTAGCTGTTTAGACCTTATGAAAGAGGCCAAATGAATCCCTCCATCTCCACGCTGCTTTGCAAATTCGAATTCAAAATCGTGGCAACTTCAAACGGGAGGCAAAAGAGCAGTCAGGCCAGCCCAAGGCCCAGCACCCTGGGTTCCCCTCCTGACTCCTTGTCCCAGAGACCTCTCATCACCACAGTTCCCATGGCAAGGCCCCCACCCAAGCCTCTTTGCTAACACAGTGTTTTTAACCTGCCGCCTCCTTCCGCTGTGCTGATCTGCAGACAAGGGTCCCCGAGAGATAACAGAATCAACAGAATCCATTAGTGCCGCTAGCTAGCATCAGGCAGTGCCTGCTAAGTAGTCCTGAGGAGGCCCCTCTGCGCGGTGGCAGTGGCATGGAGGCACACTGAGGGTGAGGCAGGCTAGCTCTGGGGCCCAGGAAGGATGCTCCGGTGCAGCCCAGAAAGGAGTTGGTGTTACCTGCCTAGGAGTTTTTTTTTAAGGATGGTCCCTGACCATGGTCCTTGAGGAAGCCCTATTATCTCACTTCTGAGAGTGAGGATCAGATGCTCTGTCCTCCCTTTTCCCTCAATGTCCTACAGGGATTTGGTAAGAAAGTATTTCTTAGAAAGTGTCTAGAACTGGTCCTCAAAGGAAGACACCACCATTAAGTAACCGGCGGTAAACTGGAAGAATAGGGAAGGCAGACTCACCTGCATTCTCTTACCTTTTGGATTGTGAGGGGATGGGGAACAGAAGCTCCCTTGAGAAGCATTCGGGGAAATGGGAACAAAACTGTGCACTTCTCCCTCTTACTCCTCCTCAACATCAGGTAGATATTGGTAGTGACAGAGAAGAAGAGTTTGGGGGGCCTGGAAAGGGCAGAGGAGTACCCCCTGGGAGGCTGCCCAGGGAGGGATGGCCAGAGAGGGAGAGTCAGGGAGGGACATCAGATATCTATTCCACTGGAGCTTCAGGGCTGAAGGTGTCCCCTGGCCACATGCTGTCTAATCTCTCACACACACACCAGCCCCCTCCTGCTAAGGCCAATTTCCATGCTAAACTGTTCATTATTGCCACCAGGCAAATTGCACAGAAGTGTCAGAATCCATAAGCGTGGGAAGCGTGGACAGGTGCACCCGTGAATACATCTCCTCTGCCCTGCATGCACTGTGTGGGGAGGCCCAGGCCCTGGGGAAATGGTGATGAGAAGCCACAGGATGATGCCCAAGGGTGGGAGAAGGGCACCCTGCGTAGACGCCGAGCTCCGTTCACTGAGCAAGTGTTTACTGAATATTGACATGCCCAGCACTGGCCTGGTGCTGGGGCGCAGAACTGAACCAGCACAGGGACGAGGGGAAAAGGACACCAGCAAGTAACAGCTGGTGACCATGTTGAAGAGGTGGACAAGGTTCCACGAGTGGTTGAGAATTTGTGACCAGGCAACCAGAACTGTGGGGGTTGGGGCTGGGGACACTCAGAAAAGGCTTCCCTGAGCAAGTGGTATGTAAGCTGACTAAAAATGCCTTGTCAGCCTCTCTGCACAGTTTAGAACCCCTGCCCCACGCCCCTTAGGGCCACCGTCCACATCCCTCACTAGCCTTTTCAGGCACAGGTGCACTCCCCTCGACTCCTCCCCCTTCCTCACTCCCCATGTTATTAGTTCTTGTCTCCCCCAGGTGCCCTCACCTGCCCTCCCTTCCCCAGCCCTACTAAGACTTTTATCATGTGCTCCTGAATTTGTGCTAGCTTCCGCCCCACATCCCTCACCTTAGGGTCCATAGCACTTAACCCTTTTAATGGCTCCCACGACTTTTAAGACATAGCTCAGAATCCTATGCAAGGTTCCGACACCCTGCCACCAGGAACGCTTCATCTCTTCCTTCCACACGCCATCTCTGCCACACCCGTGCCCCTTTCTTCCAGCTGTGCCCGTTCCTCTCACTTCCTTTCTCAAGCTGTTCCTGCCACACCTTCACACCCTACCTTTCAGGCTCCACCTAGTTCCCGCCTCCTCAGTGGAACATTCCAGGATTTATTTGCCCACTCAGACTCAATTGCTCTCTCTAGAAACCCATGGTCCTTATCACTGGCTACAGCACTCAGCAGAGTTGGCCTTGTGTGTGAGTTCCTGTATTCCTTTCCTGAGGCCCTGTGCACAGCGGTGAGCGTCACCGACTTTGGAGTGGATTGTCTGGATTCCAAACCTAGTCCAGTGTGGGCAAGTTACTTAACCTCTCCGTGCCTTACCTTTCTCCTCAGCAATAGGAGAATAGTAGTAGAACCTATTTCTTAAGGCTGTTGAGGGCGTAGAACGTGTTCTTCTGGATAAAGCACGTGTAACAGTGCCTGCTTGCTATTATTTGTATTTCATATGTTATTATCATCTGCCTCCCCATCTGATTATGAACTCCGAGGAAGCACACAGAATTCATCTTTGTATTCCCTCAGATAGATTCTGCTTTGCCCCATCATTTCTTGTAACTTCTCTCAGAAAGAAGCACAGAAGACTCAAGCCAGGAAGGACCTCAGAGATCATCTGGAGCCTTTTCCAGATCAGTAACCTGTGGTCCCCATGAGCTGAAGGAAGGTCTTGTTCAATTCATACAGCTACTCAGCACTTGGAACCTAGCAGCCAGGCATGGAGTACCTGGGTCTAACTCACAGCTTTCCTGCTCCAGCCCACATGCTATTTCTATGTCCTCTTTGGAGAAGAACAGATGGTCAGTCCTTCCCCATCCCTCTCTTGGCACATCACTGAGCCACACTTTCAAATAGCCCCTCAGCCTTCCGCCCTCCCAGCAAATGATCTCAGTTGTCCTGAACACTTTGGCCCTTCCTAATGAGACAGGTTTTCCTACCTTTCAGTCCGGTGCTGTGTGTTCTTTAAATAGGGAGCTGGCAGCCAGACTGAGACTTGGCCTTAGCAGAGACTGCAGGGGTGGAGAGGAGGGGGGGACCGAGTCAAGGCAGACCTGGGCTGGCCCCTGATCCCCAGCACTCCCAGCACCCACCCTGCCAGGCACCCAGAGCAGATTCGGACTCCTCCCTTCACTGTGGATTTGATACAATCTGGAGAATGCATTAAACATTACACAAAGTAGTTGACGCGTAATTAATAAAGTACAGATTTTGGCTGGAAGCCTCAACTTAAAATAGCGCTATGACTGTGGGAGAGGGAGGGGAGGGGAAGGAGGCTCAGAAGACAGCACGTGAAGAGAACCGAATCCGTTATCCCTGATAATAACAGAGCCGCTTCTCTGGTACTAGGGAGGGAGGAGAAAGATAAAGATTTCATTTTTATTAACAAGAGTGGGACTGGGGTTCAGAGAGGCTAAACGTGTTGCCCCAGGAGCCTGTGAGTCACAGGACAGAGCTGCAGACCTATGCCTGGGCCGGAGCCTTTGACCCTTATCCACACTCTCAGGTAGGGGAAACCCAGCATCCCTGTATCACCGAAGCACTCATAAAGTTGCACATTCCAAGACTGTTTTTAATTTGAGAAATGTTTTAATGGCATTTGGAGACAGCCTGTTCCCTCACTGACTCTCTAGAGAGGCTGGAGGGAGTTTTGCATCATCTTCTTTGAAGGAAAAAAAAGGCTTTTCCATCTGCAGGCATGTGCAGAGAGCCTTTGCTGCAGTTTACCAGCCTTCTGGTGCACAGCGAGAGGTGAGGAAGAAGCTTGAAGAGTGGAAAGAAGGGGGAGAAAAGGCTTCCGTGGTTAATTCAGATGTCTGGCCTCAGGGGCATTCTCTCTGAAAGCTGGAGCCCTACTGCTTTCTCATCCCAAACTGGTTTTCTGAAGCAAAATGCAAATTTCAGCCCAGCTAGTCAACCCTGACAAGGCAGCATCACCTGTAGCCTGGCACTCATTAACAAATGACCCAGGGAGGACCCGAGACAGGAAGAGAGCCTGCCCTGAGTGGAGCAGGCTGACGTGGAAGGTTATAGAAGCTTCAGGATCAAACCACCATCGAGCAGAAGCTTGACACCAAAAGGGAAACTGAGGCACAATTCTCCTCATGTAATCCCCTCATGCCACTCAAAACACTTCCTTCTTCTCTCTACAAGGCAGAAATGAACTTGATCTTCTGTTGAAACAGCAATGATTGAGTGAGGATGGGTGGAAGTCTAATACATTAGGAGACCCTGCAGGTCCTCTATGAGAATAATTAATCTATTAATTATGCGGCATAAGGAAAACAGCACAGGCTTCTATGGCGTGATCTGTGTTGCATTGGTTTCTGCATCCACAAAGCAAAAGCACTATCCTTGGCATATGACAGGTCTTTGAAAATGTTTGTGGCCAGACTCAGGAGACCAAACTCAAAATTCAGATTCTTACTCTAATCCCCCAGAGCCTCAGTAGTTTCATCTGTAAGATGGGGATAAAGGAAGCTTCCCTTCTTTCCAGCCTGTCGGGTAGATTGAATGAGATGTTGCTGTTAGTCTGGAAGCCCTGCATTGTGCGATGCCGTGGTGATGCCAGGTAGCTGGCTGCCTTGTTCTGCCCAGTTCTTGGTCCTCCTTTCTCCCTGCCCATGACTGGGTCGGAGCCAGCTGCGCAGACCTGGTAATCAGAGGGACACATGGAGTTTCTTTCTTCTACCTGTTACTGGCCATAGGACAAGACCTCAGATCTTGTCTTCTTGAAGGAAAGATTTCAATCAAGAGAAGAAGTGCAGTAAAGGAAGCAAGAATTTATTGGCCACAACAAAAGCACACTCAGGTCAGCGAAACAAGGAAGAGCCAAGGATAGAAGAAGTAACAGGACAGCCTAGACTGGGCTGCTTTGGTTCTCTAGAAACCTTATAGGGAAGAAGTGAGACAAGGTGGGCTGCTTTAGCTCATTGGGAAGTCAGAGAAAAGGGGGCCTTGGAGACAGATTCAGGGGGTAAGCCCAGGACAAGCTGCTGCCACTTATTGCTCTCCTAGTTGCAAGTCTGTGGGTCCTTTAGAGTCTGGGAGGAAGAAGAAGGGAGGAAGAGGAAGAAGGGAATGGCGAGGGCATTCTCCCCAAAGGGAAAGTATGCAATAGCTCCTGTGTCTTGTGCGTTATTTCTCTCTTGCAGGCAGAAATCTTAGGGAAAGCCTCAGGGGAGGATCCCAATAGCATATTCATCAACTTTCCAGGTGTGTCCTTTCAGGGTCACGGTCTCCACTGATTGGTCACTGCCAGGACAGGGGGGTCATTGGTCAGTGCTGATGGTCCTGAGGCAGCCATGGTGTCACTTGTCCGATTTTACAGTTTTGGGGGGCCTGGAGTGGAAATACAACTGAGGCCCAGATGTTATCTCTAGGGAAGAAAAGTTAGGGGGTTAAATCACATGACCACAATGTGCTAGGGAAGGAAAGGTTGCTCTGGTGGCGACGTCCTTGTTTTCCCAGTTTCGTCCCTTGCTAGGCACCAGGGACTTTCTGCCCTGGTGATCTCTTCCTGTCCCATCATCCTTGCTCTACCACCTAGCCCCAAGGTCCTCATGTAGGCACCTTGTTCTCCAATATCCAGAGTTTGAATGCAGAAACTTTATAGAGCTACTTCTTCCCAGGAAAAATAATTTTGAGATAGAGGTGGGAGCCCAGCCTCATCCAGATTGCCAGCCCTAACCCTTTCTGCCTCAGGAGGGAAGAGGTTCGAATGCAGGAGAGAAGGGACAGGAAAGACATGCAGTGTCTTTGGTGCAGAGGGGTGCAAGGAAGGCTGGTGGCAGAGCGAGTGGACTGTCACTGGCATTCCATAGTGGGCTGTGGCTGTGCAGCTGAATCAGAGCCGAGGAGCCGCCGAGACCAGAGGAGCCTCAGAGTCCACTGTGGGCAAACTGATAGCCCATCTGGGATCCATCCACAGCCTGCCTCCCTCCCCCATGCCTTGAGCTCATTGGAGGAGCCAAAGCAGGAAAGCAGGGCTAGGTGCCTCCCCCAGCAGCTGGGCAATCCCCCACATGCCAGCCCACAGGCCCCTGCCGCTCCCTCCCCCCTACACCGCTCTGAAAGCACACGTTGCCAGTACACCAGCTCCTGGCTTCAGTTCCTGCCCCTTCCTCTCAGAGCCAGCATGAGCTGATCTTAAGGCTTCAAGTCATGCAGGGGAAGGGGAAGGAGCCTCAGGGCTCTTTATCCAGGGAACCCGGGGAATGCAGCGCCATTTCTTGTCGGGAAGAAGTCCAGATGGCCATCAGTGTAACACTGGGCTTTCAGAATCCTCACAGAGGAGTCGACCAGCCCTCCTTGGCTGGCAGCATCCTAAATCTCCAGGCCCCAATATTTCCAATCTTCCATCTTTCCAATCTCCTAAGTACTCAAGCTCTCATAACACAAGGATCTTGGGATTGGAAGGCATGGGGCAATGCAAAGAACAGGTATAAGCAGCTGCCGGGAGCCTTACACCACATCTTCAGCTCTGCTGCCACGGGGTTTGCTTTGTGACCTTGTGGGAATCATTTGCTTTCTCTGGGACCCAGTTTCCTTCTCTATAATAGGCTACCTGCCTCCCCCACCCAGTATTGTGAGGCTTATGGAAGAAAAATGGAAGTGACAGAAACAAAAAGGGAATGTCATCATCAGAGCGCACTCTCTGAGAGCAGAGGGCAGTGCGATGCCAGTCACATCAACAAGTGGCAGCCGACGCTGGGAGCACCTGACCCCCCAGAACCCCCATCCTCCACCAGGACAAGGAGTCGCCCCCAAGCCTGGAGGAGAGGGCTTTATGTCCCCATTTCCCCGGCACTCTCCCACGCCCTGGGGTCAGTAGTAGTCATAGTGGTCTTGTTGTCACCCACCACATTTTGTTAACCTTTGACTGCCACCCATCCCAAACACGTATGGACACCAATGGGCTCTCCCTCCCTCTCACATGCAGATGTGCCCCCTGCCCTCTGTGAACAACTCGGAACACCTCCCCAGGAGACCCTCGGAGTGGTGTGCTGGAGAGAGCACCCACAGCAGGAGGAGCCTGAGAGCCTGCTGAGAAAAGCTACCTATTTGTTGGGGAACCTGACAGGGTCAGAGGCAGCTCAGACCACCTGGAGGGAACCAGGCCCTTTGCCCACCACAAATCTCTTTTAACAACAAACTTTGAGAACAGCCTGTTTTCCCAGTGCAGCTTCCTGCATAGTGTTTGCCTAATCTGTCTGCCTAAAATCCTCTCCAAACATGAGGTTTCCTGCCCTGCACTGGCAATCAGCGAGCTCATTATCCAGGATTAGAGATGGAATGGGGCGGGGGTCAGGTCCCGTTTAATTACAGGAAAAAAATTAGCCCAACTCATGTCAGCAAGGCCACTGGGATTAGAATAAGGTCCAGGTCTGGACACAGGTCAGTGGGGAGGTGGGAGTGCCCCACTCTCTGGGCCGCGGTCTTCTGCTCTTGACTGTCTCTGGGATGAGGGTGGAAATGAGGGCTTCAAGAGCTTCTCCCTTGGGGATTGAGGAGAAGGGTGCCTGAATGCATCAGAGAGAGAGGCACAGAGACAGCCCAGAGAAAGACAGAGAGGTAATAAACATGAAGGTGGGGCTTTCTGCCAAACAGTCCTTGTCCTCTCTTCTATGAGAAGAAACTCTTGACTCACAGAAGCATTTATTCATTAATTTATTCATTCATTCTTTCATTTTACTTATACGTAGGGAGCAGACCTACGTATAAGTTATGGGCCAGACCCATAGCTGATCTAAGAACTTTTATTGACCCAATAGAAGGCATATTGACCACTGGCTCTAGATTTTAAGTGGTATCTCTCTTCTCACCTCTTTCCTCTTTTCTAACACATCCTATATACTTAACCATCTTGGAAGTAGTCCAGGCCCTCAGAAACCCCCACTGTCTAACTCCTACCCACAGAGACAAAGGATTCAAGCACCCAGTGCAAAGACCTGAGAATACATCAAGGCAACACACAACAGAGTGCAAATGCATCAGTACAAACCGTATATTATTCTATGAGTCTAGTTATTTGTATGTATTTGTACCCACTTTTCAAATAAGGAGTTAGGCAATATAATAAAAGATTTGGCAAA